GGGGGGATGCGGCCAAGCGGAAACGCTGCACAGAGGAACCTCAGCGAACCAAGGAAAAAGAGAAAGTGGCAACGAAAACAAGGGCAAATTGAACCTTCCTTGGGGATTTCCAATGAACTAACCCAACTCGGACATTCAATAAATACGTCTTTCCTAATGAGTGCGCTTCTGCGTGCACCCCGCACCCCCAGTTGCGGGTGCGCCAGCCTGGAGCCTGCCACCCACAGCCTGCCCCTGCAGTAGGCTGTCGGCAGCAGCGCCTGCCGCGGGAGTTGCCGCCCTGGACCTAAAAGCGGGGCTGCCTGTTTGCTCCGATTAAAACGCGAATCCGGCTGCCCTTCTTTCTCTCTCTGAGTAATTCCTCTGCTGAGTGCAGTTAGGCGAACTCAGTTAATGCTAGAGTTCTGCAGCCCAGCCACAGCCACGCAGACTTTTCTTGATCTCAAGATTAATAGTAGACGTGTAGAATTTATGTAGGATCTCGTCCAGCTCCTGCTTGCCGGGTGAAAGATACCATCATAGGTAGGTTTTTGGCAAAGTCATTATTGCCAAGGTGTAGACCTGAAAGGCAGTGGTAATCAAGCCCCCCAAAGAACGGATTTTTTTTCTTCTGCGTCCCCCCCAAGTTTCCTTTTTTATATTTATGTATGCATATATGTATACATAAAAGAAGGAACACAGATTTCATTGAATAAATCTGAGATCTCCAGGTGCAGACGTTTGAATAGTCGGTGCCAGCACCCCGTGTTTTCCTTTCCTGCCGATTTTGCTTGGATCCGGCTCAAAAACCAAGAGAGTCTCGTGGTTTTGTTTACACTGAATGGGGAGCATAGGAACAGAGCCATGGGGCCACCTTTCATTAATATACAGTGAGGATTTTGTCTAAATTACTGCTATGAATTTCACAGTACACGCTTTCAAAAGCAGTCTCAGGTGGCCCGATGAAACGTGATAGCGCCTCTGCAAACAGATCCACTTTCTTTCTCTCTTTTCACTGAGGGTGTGTGCGCGCGCGCGTGTGGGAAGCCCCCCAAAATGCTGTGCTCCTATATACCTGAAGGACACTCAGGTCTGTGCCCTAAGTCGTCCCTCTTTCTTCATACTTAGTTCTGCAGTAGCTCCCCAACCTCCTCCACCCCACAGCCCCACCCCATCCGCTCCCTCCCTTTGGGGAGTGTGATTGTTTTGTCTGGAAAAAAAAAATCCAAAGTATATAACAAGGGGAGAACAGTTAGTGCTGATTTTCATTTGCATACATTTTCATATATTTTGGTGAAAATAATAGACTAGTGGAGAGCTGGGCTTAGAGGAGTCAGTGTAAAGGGAAGGCTAAGGAAGCATCCGCTCTGGGGAGTTGAGAATATGCCTTTCCCCCCAGTCAACTTATTTTAAAAAATAAAGCATCTTTTATTTTAAAATCTAACCCCGGAAGTGTGCTCGGTAAGTGTTTTTTTTTTTTTTTTAATTTTCTTTCCATGCTTTTTCTTTTCTTCCCCTCCTTTCGGGTTTATGTTCTTGTAGGTGTGGGAGCTGATTTTTATTGCTGGAGACAAGAGAAGGTTCACAGAGCAACTGTTTGAAGGAAGGAAGGGAAAGTGTGTTGGGGGGAGAGTAAAGGAAGAAAAAAAAAAAAAGCCCGACCCTGCTAAAATCTAACATAAAAAGATGGACTCTTTCCAAAAGCTCTCCCAGACAAGACACTTTACTTTGGGGGACAGAGGGGGGAGGGTGGAAAAGCGCTGTTAATTTTAATTGTTGATTGTCAGGGAAGAAAGAGCCTAGAAAAGAAGGGTTATAAAGCAGGCAGTATTATAAATATTTCTTGGTTTAAGATTTTTTTTTTCCCCTAGAGAATCAGGATGTGAGGGAAAGAAACCCCCTTCTCCGTAGCCAATGGTGATGTGATGAACTGAGTCTACTTGCCTGGGGTTGGGGTGAAGGATTAGTACTGGGAGCAGTGGGCTGGAGTGAGAGAGGGGGGCTTGGTAAAGGGAGGGAAGTGAGCTGGAGAAGGAAGGAGGGGGTGGAAAAAAGAGGTAGGAAGTCTGGGCACCCCAGGTTAATACTGTATCTGTGGAGCAGGCAGTCAGCTGCAGTGTCCCAGCTTGGTAGTGAAAGTCCATCAGAAAGAGGGTGATCAATCACAACTAACCAGGACATCCTACACCTTATTCCCAAAGGAAACTGGAGCTTTAGGATCAAATACTGGATTTTACTATGTTTTCCATCTTTGACAGTTAGTGTTGCCCCCTTCCTTTACCACTGGCCCTGGGTTTTGTGAAAATTGAAGGTGAAGTTCCTTGCTAGATGCAGTTAATTAGATAAATGTGGCTGGAGGAAATAGCTAGGCCAAGTCCAAGCCCCTGAGAACACCTTACTTCAATGAAAAAAGCTGGAGAGGATTTGAATAGCTTCTTAGTTTTGTTCTTTTAAAAAGAATCTGAATCTGGGGGTGATGAGGGGGTGGAATCAAATGGCTGGAATTTTATTGCACTTTGATATCCAGAACACCTTGCAATGTAAAATTTGTAATTTCTTGGAAACAGTTGATGCCAAATCAATGAAATGGTTTGTAAGGCGGGAGGAAGAGGTTTCAGTTGGGGAGGGGTAGGAATTGCCAGTTCTCCACTCCTTGTTTATGCGCTTGGCAGCAGTGCTTTTGACTGAGGTTAACTCTCTGTGCTCCATTGCACCAGACGCCACATAGAGCTGCTCCCTGAAGATCATTTGTTTCCTTGATGGGGAACATTTCTGAGCAGAGCATATTGGTTGCCATAGAGAAAGAAATAAAAGGAAGAACACTAGTCACATTAAGCTATATGTTTGTGCACTGGGCTTTAGATAAAAGGACCTTGGTTCAGCCAAAGAGAAGAAGCCAAACTGGAGATATCTAGCACCACTAAAACTAGCTTTATTTTGTTTTGGACTTTTACAGTTGAAACATATAAGCTAATTTTATTGGTTGTTGTTAATTTTATATGACACGGTTTACTGAACAAAATAAACTTTGGAAGTGCTTGAGTCGCTCTATTGACTTGTCAGCAGGGGGCGCACTGACTCGCCTTAGAAGGTACTAAGTAAAATGTAGCTGTGTTAAAAGCAGATCTGCTCATCTAAACTTGCCAAAGGAACAAACATCATACCTTTCTGTGCATATTCACAACGAGGAGTACATGCATTACATGACACAGTTTTTTAAAATAGGAGGACAATGACTTCCTCATTTCCCACCTACCCTTTTCTGTGAAAAGGCCTCAATGAAGTACAGTTCAAAAAGTCCATTTCTTTAAGTGAAATGTATATGAGGCTGGAAAACAGAATAAGCCTGTGAAAGCTAAAACACTTTCGAAAAATTATTAAAGGTATGTGGTAGGCTACTTAAGAAAATACTCTTCATGGTTTTTTGTGTTTTGTTTTTGTGGGTGTGGGAAATAGTGCAAAACAAACAAACAAAACAACCAAATGCTCTCTTTAAAAAAAAAAACCCAAAATGAATTCTAAGGCATTACGCAATAAATCATGAACACTCTTAAACTTGAGACATACTTTGATTTGTAATCAAAACCCAGCCTCATGGAGATTTAGTCAAAGTGTCCAAGATCTCTTTTACTACATTTGACATTTAATTGCTCCTTTAATTGTTGGTACCACCTATGATTACAGAAATACTTTGGATTTATCTTTGAAAAATCTCCATAGAGAAAAGCAATGTAAAAATCACCACTGGTTGGAGGTGTTAGGGCACTTAAACATTTTTAGGACAAAATTACTTAACAAACTTGAGGAAAAGTTTTAGCAGAGCACGAGGTTTCTACCTTCCAGACTCTTAGGTGCTTTTCAGGAGCATTGAACTTCATGTGGGAAAAAATGGAAAAGGTATGTGGAAAACCTCCTAAACTAGTGAAGGGCAAATCCTGACCAGTTCTGAGGAAATAGTTCGGCACTAGCAGTTTTCCTGGGGATGAATCAGAAGGAAAAGCCATGATGACTGGAACACACCTGTGACCGTGCCAAGGTGTCCTTTAGAGAGCGACACTTGTGGGAAAGCTCTTTTGTCTCCCTGGACCAGGAGGAAAATATCTTAGTCTTGCTAAGTCACACTATGTCAAACAGGTTGTAGCCATGAGAACTTTTACTTTGAAACTAACTTTAAAAGTCAAGATTTGGATTTAAATGCTATTGAAACAGTGAGAGAATAAAAGTTATAGAACTAGATAAGCAAAGGAGATATTCTTAAAAATTATTTGAATTCCATTATTTCATTTGTGAGTTCTCACATTTAGAAGCAGGAAATGTACCGTCAGGTTTGTGCTAATAAAACAAAGTGGAAAAT